AAAAAAAAAGTTCGGGGAACCCACACTTCGTTGACCTTTGCGAGGCCACAATCCCGCCTCGGAGGGTTAAACGCGTCGCGCTGTCCTTTTTTTTTGTTGTTATTGTTGTTTGGTCCTTTGTTTTGTTGCTCCGGGTCCAGGACCTCTTTGTTTTGATAGAGGATCTACCTCAAAGTTTAATAGCTTTATATTTTGAAGTCATTTGTGCCTGAGGCTTGAGAAGCTATATTATACCTGTAATTCGATTTTCATTCCATGATTAGCATATTACTGGCGCAATTGGCCAAGAAAGAAACAGAATTTATTCCACTTTCGCCTCAAATTCCATAGAAGTGAAAGGACTTCTTTTATCAAACGCGCTTTTGTTTACTACTTCATTGCCTCAACTTCAATAATGGACAAAGAAGCTTTGATTTGTTTTTCTCGTTTCCTTCTAGAATTGAAAATTCGAAAATGTGTTCTCAAATCCGATCAAAAGTTTATTGTGCGAAGTAAACAATGGATTTGCTTTTGCTCAATACTTCTCTATCTGTTGCCACTACAAAAGCTTTGACAATTCTTTCTGGAATTGAAATTTTTAAGTTTATTATCTTTGTTTCTTAAGAATATTTAGTTTTTTGGGATATAGAAAAAAAAACCATTAAATATTATGAACTAAAAGAATTTTTGGTAATCTTAGAACGGAAACTTCAGGTACTCCTTATGTTATTATTACTTTAGGAAACCTTACCCATTCTACCATTATCAACCTTCCAAAAACTACCTGTAAACTAGTGTTCATTTTCTTTTTGTTAATTCAAGATTTTTTTGCTTGTTCACGGAAAACTACTGAGTGGAAACAAAGTCATTGTTAGTCTGACTACAAAAACTAACATATTTAACATTTCTTAAGTTAGATTTCTAAATCAAAATTTATAATCAACAATTGTTGACTGCTATTAATAATTGTGAATATTTAAATTTATTGAAAATGTATGTTGTTTATGGGTTCGGTGATCGCAATAATCATGAAACAAGTTGCAGCTCTTGTTTTTACTTGTCTGGTTCAATAAACTATCATCGACCTTCATTGTTCGTGGACAAAGTTTATTTTTATTCTCGACGAATACACAAAGCGTACGAAAGAAAATGTTAATGCAATCGAAATAGAAAAATGTATGATTCATCCGTCGTAACAATATCTAATCAGAAAAAGAAATGTTGTTCAAAGATATACTAATTATTGTTGTTTCAAAAAAAAAAGGGGAATTAAGTTCGACGAATTGTGTTGTTATTCATCGCATTTTCTCGAATACCGCACTTGTTTTCCGTCTGATACTGATGATTGTTTTTGTTATTTTTTTAATCCGCATTTGTAAACATCGATTAGGAGTTTGTGTTGTGTGTGTGTTGTTCAAGGAAACGCAGTTTCCGTTTGCGTTTTGGACGCTGGGGAGAGAAAGAAAGAGAGAAGAGATAAAAATAATTCCACTTTCCTTGGAAGCAGGAGAGTAAATTGATTCTAAGCTCTGAGCGGACACAAAGAATAAGAAGAAGAAGAAGCCGGAGACCGGAGAGCACCTGTCATTATAGTATAGCCTGCTTCCTATTATGTGAACGCACCTGGCCTTCCTCCTTTTATTACACTATACACGATCCTACGGCCTTTGAAGACGTAGAATAAGGGGAAAAAGAAGAGTGGTGGAGGAAAAAATCTATTGTGGAAAATATGCGTGCTCCAAAATTGCTGGTGCTTTGTAAACTGTTGCGCTTTTTCCTCGCTCTGCGTTTGTTGTTGTTGTTGCAGCAGCAGCGTGCGAATGACGCGCGTGTCGTAAACTGTTTGCACAAACTGTTGGCCAACTCGCGAGAGCTCGTTCTCTCTCTGTGGTCAATTTGGAAAGTGCGCAAATCGATCCGTAATAAATTCGATGGAGGGCCGAACCCGATGTTGTTGTCTGCAAGACACAGATACCACACAATACTTCCACCACCCGATCTGGTCGTAATAATCTGCTGGCCGAGATCTGCTCTCTTCTCCCGGTGTGCTTGCTGCTCCACTTTTGGTCGGGCACGGAATGCTTCTTTATTGCGTTCAATTTACCGAAGCCGTGGGCCATCCGCAACAGCAACAGAAGAGGAGTTGCACGCTTAAAAGAAACGGCCCAAATACCGTTACCTGCGGAACACCCAATTCGCGAGGTATTCTCGGTCCTGTTCTCTTCCTTTCTCTTCTTTATTGTTTCTTTTCGGTAACATTTTATGAGAGTGCGTGTGCACCAAGGCATGATTGCTTCGACCTTGTGGGGTCAGTCCACTCTCTGAGCATCACCATCATCACCGCTGCAATCATCATCATCTTCATCACGCGCACAGGATGCTCGGCGCATACCAAAAGAAAAACAAACCACGGACAAACGCATTTAGAAGTCAGGAGCTGCACTCCATTCAATGCGTCTTTTTGAGTTTTTGGGATGGGAAGATGGTTGGTGGTGGTTCGGTGAAGAAGTCGACGTGCATCGAAACGGCACGCAACTTTATGTACGTCGTTAATGGAGCAGGTTTCCAAGGCTCGGCTCTGCTTGGCTCGCGCAACTTTCCAACATTAATTACTATTTTGAAACCGACTCATACATACGTGTATTACAACAACAACAACAACAGCAAGTGCTTATAAAAAGAGGCGCTCAGCGGGATGGAAGAGCGAGAGAGAGAGTTATGAAAAAGGGAAGAAAAGAGCAAACCCCGGATCCATATGTTAAAGAGCTCCACCCACTAATTTATCGAAGGGCCCCGACCGTTTCTTCTTTTAAATTTCAACTCGCCTCCGCTTTGATTAATGTCTGCATCTGCGAGAATTAAAACTAGTCTTCCCCGACTTCATTACAGAATCAACACTTAATTAATTTTTTGAATTGCTTTTTTTTTCCACATATGTTTCCTTTCGGTTACAAATCATGACTTCGCGTTAATTAGACTTCCTCTTCGCCATTTCGAATTCTTCCATAAAGTCATTTCACTTACAATTTATTAATAAATCCACAACACATTTCGATTTGGTATAATCACAATACATATATCTTTTTACCACTACTATTAAATTCATAATTTTATGAATGGCTCGACGTGTGTTATTATAAGTTTGCTTTCTTTCACTGCCTTTTCTTTGATTTAATCGCTAAAATGGAAACACGCAGCAACTGTTGCTGAAAGTATGTTCGCGCCTACATAATTAGTGCCAATTAAAACTTTACCAGGATTTGAATAAACCTAATTCAATTCATTAAAAAAATTACATAAATGTAGCGTATTTCATTAATAACACTTTTTTAATTAAATTAACTAATTTTTTTTAAACTGATACATTGAAAATCTTTATGCGAAAATATCGTCTTTATATAAGCTACAGATTATGTCCTTGTTTAAAGCGTTTTTAGTGTGAGGTGAATAAACTATTGGAGATTATCGTAGGATTGAACTGAGCGAGATCCGTGGTTTGGTTTTGGGTTGGCGGAGTAGGTATTAATAGCGCATGAGTATTTATTAAAATGCAGCCTTCTTGTCGTCAACCCGTTTCCCGCTGCGTCAGCTGTTAATTGTTCCATTATTGAAGTGCACACAACAACAATATCCATTATATTCCGATGCACGGACGTCATCGTGTCGCATTTAATTCCGATTAAACCGAGCCACGGACAAAAAGGTATAACAATAACAAAAACAAAAAAAAATGAGGTTCATTTCAACTTCATCGGTCTAATAGTGAATTTATCTATTGCAGTTGTTTGTGCGTGTGTGTAATCTAACGAAAAGTAAATTTGTCCGTTCGTTAGATATGCATATGTGAGAGACCTCCAAAATGTTTTGGTTTTGTATCTAGTGTGTGTATGGCGTGGTATATCGTGTACATGTATCGTGCACGTGTAAGCACTTGAACTGTAGCGCTCCGCATTCTGCACTTTGTTCTCTGCAATCATCGCCGATGATTCGAGCAACGCCAACTGCGAGGAAAACCGTTGTTGTTTTTTTCGTGGTTCAACATCCATCGAATTTGATTTGATAGCGATGATGACTTGCGTCATCCGGAGTTGGCAGCGCGGGTTTCCTAGTTTCGTTTGCTCGTATTTGGGCTCCCCCAAGTGGGAGCGGTTTCTGCGATGATCGGATTCATATGCACGGAGCAACACTCCTCGCCGTTTCCGCCCACAACGTTTCATTTACATCAAAAACCTGGTTGTGTATTAAACCATTCCGCGTGTCCTCGCCACTGCACACTCTATTAATACTATCGATCTGCTATCCTTGAATCGCCTCCTTCTTCTACTCTCTTGCCGTGGGCGAAAGTTCCGCTTCCTGTTCACCATCATCATCATCAGACGATCCTCTATTTTCGACTCGCTTCATTTTGTCTTCTTCTTTTTTTTCTGTCTCTCTCTCTCCCAACATCAGCTTCGTGGTGGTGGGCAGCTGTGGGGATCCAAACGAATCTGGGTCAAACGAACCTCTTGTTTATTTTCATATATGTGTCTGTAACAAGCGTGTGCTGTTGCTGCTGCTTCTGCTTCTTCCACAGCCCAAAAATAATCTTAACACATTCATACAAACCCGACATTACTTGATGCAATTCAAACGCTAAATTTGTTACAGAACAGTTACTTTACTTACTGTTCTCATCACAATATAAATAAGTCATCACAGCAAACGTTTATAATCGCGCAAAAAAAATATATATAAAAACAAATCCGAAAAGTCAAGTGTTTACGACAATTTGAGATGACAAAATAATTCGATTACTT